TCTTTTCCCCAACTTCTTCAAAAAGGACCTTGGAAGAAGGTTTACTGATGCACTATTGTCTAATAATATCCTGTTCATTTGTATCCCATCGAAGTAGGCCTTGATGTACAATCGCTTAACATGCTGGGTCATAGATATTGTGGGGTACTCGAAGGGATATGAGAGGTTAATGCTCACCTCCTCACTTTCCTTATCAGTTTTCAATAGTGTGGCCACTTTTGACTCATCTTGAACCATGCTGGCCTGTGAATCTTCACTAGAAATTGGAATAGGTCATCTTCCTGACCTTCTTGGTTTTCCTCTTCAGCCTGGAATTCCTGTAGTAACACCATACCATATTTGCAGGCACTGGAGAGAATGAGCCAAATTGAACTACTGGCTATATTTGTTTCCCTTCTAAAGTAACTTGTTTTATTGTTTTAGAAGCATCTTCCATGCTACATTTTGGTACATCTGTGCTGGCAGGTTCCTTCGAAACAGCCTGTTGGTGATCTATCTCTGTTGGCTTGTCAACTAGAAAGGTCTGTTTAGCCATGAAGGCTTCAAACATTTTAACTTCAACCACTGTTCTCTCTTGGCCTAGCTCAGTCCCTTCATCTGTCTCTTCATCACTTTCCATTAAAGCCTTCTCGAGGCCTACTAAACTGAATTTTTCTTTGGCTCTCAGTTCAGCGTAAACTTTAGCCAACTACTCCATACCGGCACTCCTCTTGATCTTGTGTCATGGAAGTGCTCATTTGCCTGGTCTTTTGCTTGTGTCATGGAAGTGCTCTCTCTGCTTTCTTTCAGATCCCTTTGATACTGGGTGTATCTTCGTTGGATCTTCCTCATTTGAGACCTAGAAATCATAGGAACCACATTTGGCTCACTTGTTTTTGGGTTCTTTAATAACACCCAATTGTTTGGAGCCATCAACGGTGGTTTGATCATTCTTCCCTATTATCCAAAAACTTTCCTTTGGGTAAGCATTTCCTTATGTTTGTTCTGCATGACAAACCAATCTGGAACTCCTGGAACCCGTGAGCTTACTGGTCTGGCTACTGGATCTGCTGTCCCACTCTTTGAAGCAGTCTTCGAAGCAGTCCTTTGGGGCCAATCATCAATCCTGGTCCCATGCCTTACACTAAATCCACACTTTCTTTCAGACTGGTTATCTACCATGTAATAATTGAGTAGCCTAGTTTCAAACAAAGGCCTCTTACCCCTTGATTGCATCTTGGTGTATGGTGGACCAGCCAAAGATGAATGTTGTCTAGGACCAGTTGGATATGGCCTTTTGTTGTAGGTGCTGGTTGGTTTTTTATCCTTCTGTACATCTTTATAATATTGTTTCCCATCAACTGGGATCCCTTTCAGCCATTTATAACTCATCCTACATCTAGGACGTATCCTTTGTACTACAGCTGCCTCGAGGGAGTCATCATCCAATATCCCCTCAATAGAGTTATCTCTTTGGCCTACAGAGTTCTGTCCACTTGCTGGTGAACTTCTGGTGTCCTTTTTGAAGGCAACCTGGCTAACCACGTGCATTTGCACAGTGACTTCCTCTAATTCCTTCAAGGATAGGTTTTGGAAATCTGGCATGCCAACATTGGCTGCAGCCTTTCCAATCTCTGAAAACGGGTTGGTATAAATTCCCATAGCTTTCTCAGTCTTGGCTGAAAACTTTAGCCTTCTCTTCCGAATCTGTTCTTGGATTCTGTCTCGAAAAACAATACAGTTTTTAGTTGAATTAGTCCAAGAATTGTGCCATTTACAGTACAGTTTTCCTTTCAGTTCTTCAGGAGTAGGGATCTTAACTCCCTTTGGTAACTTTAGAAAATTTGCTGCAAGTAAATGATCAAAAATGTCATCTGCTTTTGTTAAATCAAAAGAGTACTTCCTATGAAGGTCTTTCTTTTTAAACTACTAATCTATTGTACTGTCTTTCTAAATTAATGCTTCACAGGTCATAGGTTCTTTTCCTACGATCTATACTGCATCAATTTCATAGTTAGGGTCTCTATAGTAGGTCTTGTATGATGCATTACTTCGATCTTACTCCTCCTCAAGTAAAGTTTCATATCTAGACACTTTATAGGTTAATTCCATTAAGTCTCGAAACTTAGTTGAATCAAACTTCTTTCGAAGCCTAAACTCCAACCCATTTTGAGTCAATTTCACAAATTCAGGCTTGAGTAGCATGACCCTACATTTGTTTTGTGCCCTTTTAAATCTAGCAATAAATTGAGCAGCTTTCTCATCAGGCCTTTGGCTCAATCTTGCCAAGGCTACCATAGAAACCTTAGGTTCTGTTTGGAAAAATTGTACATGAAAAACCTCCTTCAGTTGCTGCCAAATTTGGATAGAGCCAGGTGTAAGGTTTATATACCATACGAAGGCTGCTCTAGTTAAAGAATTTGGAAAAAGTCTCAGTTTCATGTAATCATCATTGGCATACTCACCACACTGGCCTGTAAACCTAGCAATGTGTTCCACCGTTGACTGGTTTCCATTCCCATAAAAGAGGAAAAAGACTGGTATTCTAAACCCCCTAAGATACTCATGTACCCTATTCGCCCACTCTGGGTAAGGTTTTCTATACAATGGTATCTGGACCCCTCAAGTCATAGGTCTATACATTTCTCTAACTATGTCAGCAATTTGGTCCCTTGGAACCATATTTTGTACTAGTTGAACCACTACTGGAGGAACAAACACAGGGTTTGGAAGAACTCTATGTGCTTGAGGGCCTCTTGGTCTATATGTGGGTACATTCAAGGCTGGTTGTCCTTGTTATACTGGTTGCTATTGGAGGTATGGCTAACCTCTTGGAATCTGTCCTGAGAAAAGGCCTACGAAAGGCGCTACAGGAAGAGGAACATGTGTTGTTTCTCTTCTAACTGTAGAAAATCCCTCCAACCCCCGGGACGTAAATTCAAACACAGGATTAGTAAAGCCCCATGTGCCAAGTATGGCTTCGAACATAGGATTTGGAAACATCCTCATACCATTCTCTTGTGCTGGCCCAGATCCACCAATTTGTATGGTTTCGATGGTAGGCAATGGTACATTTTGGTTTGCTAGTGGTGTCAAAGGAGCTTCGTACAATGACTGAGGCACAAGGGACATTCTCTCATGGTTTTGATTACTAGATTGATGATTAGTTTGCCTATTATTTTGCATAGGCTGTTTGTCTCGAGCCAATCTATGCAGAAGGGAATTCTCGTTCTCTTCAGCCTGTCTTGCAACAATTGGTTAATGAAAGTTCATTCGATCCAGAAAGGATGTTGCCCATTTTTCTATTGTATACATTAGTTGTTGTCCCATAGCATCTACTAAACCTACCCATGGATTTATTGGTTAGATAGAAAAAATAGTTAAAGGTCCAGTTTCATAGCCCTGTTTAGTATGTTGGACATGTGTTGTATATTCTGAAGTGCTAGTTTATTCGATCATTTGCAGAGGATCTGATGGGATAGGTGCATCCGTTACATTATCCTCTGGGTTGGGTATTTCTACCTCTCCTTCCACACCTTCTTCCAGGTTTTCATTTTCTTTTCTTGCTCTATGTCTAGCCATTTGTAATAGTCCCACTGGGCATGCCAAAAATAAATATTGGTTTTTTTAGCTTTCGAAGGTTAATAGTGCAAATTTAAGCATGCTAGCAAGAATTAATCAGTCCTTACAAAATTTTAATTGTCAACCAATTATCAGACGATTGTGTTGAAATTCTTTTAGCTTCAATAAAGAGGACTTTTACTGGTAGCTTGTTTTAGGAGAAATTTATAAGAAATAACAAGTACAGAACAATTCAGAAACTGAATTTCATTGAATAAATAGGAACTTACAATGAAATGACTCAGTCTTGAAAAGGTTTACAGCAACGACTACTTGAAAACTACTTCTAGGAAATAAAGTGTAGTACAGGAATTGAAGTGCTAAAAATGTAAAAAACTGAAAATGTAAAAACTGGAAAGGAAAAACAAAGTAAGTAAACTGGTTTCTGGATCTAAATCTGGGTCCTTGCATTCTAGGTCCTTCTCCTCTATTTATACTTCCCAAAGGTAACCGTCGAAATGGGTTTCCAACTGTCGAAATGCACTTTCACGATCTCTGGTCATGGCTTCGCATAATCAGCTTCCACTACGTCATTCCTTCAGTTAGGCTTCCCTCTTGCATTTGAATTTGAACTTTTGAGTAACCGTTGAGCCATATTATCCCGCACCTTCTCGCTGCTTCCATGTAACGCAAACCTACCATTACCAATATAAATTGTCACGTGTCCATTACTGATTGGAGACTTGCATTAATTCTCCAAAACAAACTTCACGAGTCATGTGTTAAGCTGTAACTGGCCTGTACAAAATATATAGCCAATAACCCCTAAAAACTATATATAACAAAGTGACAATTAATTGTAATGAAAGTTATGAATATTTGTAATGTATTATTATGAATAATAAATTTATGGTATACACTCCAAAATTATGACACTTTTTATGACTTTGTTATTACATTGTGTAGTGAGAAAAATTATGATATTTTTTAATTTATGTTATAAAATTTTGTGAAAAAAAGTTATGAATATGTACACTATTTTAGGAGTACACAAAGTTAACATTTCCCAAATACAAATAATAAGAACATAATTGGTTTGATATATAATCAATTAAATAATAGAATTAATGAGATATGCAACTCATGTAGCCTAATACGACAGTTTGTGTCATTGAACTCTTTAATTTGGTTAAATTAACATATATATATAAACTAAATTAAGAGCAACAAAATGAGGAAATACAAAAAAGTAGATAGCTTGGGCCCGTTGTCAAAGACCTAAAAGTCAGGTAAGATCCGAAAGTCGGTACGTTGTATTCGTAGGACTCCTTTGCTCGTTGCATATGATTTTTTCTCATTATTTTATTTTTAACTATGAAATTAAATAATTCATAATCAAGTCATAAATAAGATTTATAACGAAAGATCTCTTCAATCATAATCAAAATAAAAATCACGCAATAAATCATAACTAAGTCTGAACCAACAATTACAAGCCAAGATTATAAAAATTATAATTAAACATACAATACACACTCAAAAGAGATATATTAAAAAAAAAAGAAAAAAAAGATTAATATCAATTGTACTGCACAAAGCAAATTCCCAAACTTAATTAGACCCAAACCCAAATACCAGAACAATCTTATTTTGGAAAACATCACTTCATTTTCCTGATAGTAATACATTAACTAGTTTGTCCAAATTCAAAGAAGATGACCCATCAGGTCCACTAGCCTTTTCAGCCAATCTCTTCCACTCCATAGCCTTCTTCTTCATTTTCTTCCCCTTCTCTCCTTCCATCAACTCTCTAACCATCTTCTCCACTCCATCTCTCTTCACATCATTATCAATGACCATCCCAACCTCCCACTCATCACAACTATATTTACAGTTAGTCTGCTGATCCCCAAAGAAAGGCCAACATATCATTGGCACCCCGGCAGACAAGCTCTCAATATTCGAGTTCCATCCACAGTGAGTCAAAAACCCTCCAACTGAAGAGTGGTTTAGAACTTCCTCTTGCGGGCACCACCCTGCAATCATTCCCCTTTCCTTAATGTAATTATTGAATTCCGGTGACAAAACCGCCTTGTCCCCAATCACCAAATCAGGCCTAATTACCCAAAGAAAGTAGTGATTTGAATTGGCAAGTCCCCATGCAAACTCAACTAAGTGTTGCATTGACATGACTGTTACACTCCCGAAATTCACATAAACAACTGAACCAGGTTGTTTAGAGTCAAGCCATTGGAGACACTCCAGTTCTTCTTTCCATAGATTGTATCCCAGAGACTCTAAGTGGTCTTGTTCTCTTGGGATGTGGTGGTTCAGAAGTAACTGTAGAGGACCCATGGTGTAAATATGGGAAAATATGGTTGAGAGAGCATTCAGAACATCTTGTTCTAATGCATCAAAAGTGTGAATGCCAAATGCTGAAGCTTGAGAAGCTGTCTCTGCTGATTCCATGGCTAAGTTGAATATATCATCATTTGGGTCTGTGGTTTGGAAAAATGTTGGAAGGTCTTTCAGACTAATGCCCTTCATTCCTGCGATCCAATCTATTTTGGTGTCTAAATACCCGTTTGTTAGATAACTTGCATCTGCATACCATACACAAACAATATTATAGCTTCGACACAATTTTGAAAAAAAAAAATTTATGAAAACAATCTATTTGTTAGAAAATACCAAAAAAATTATATTTTTGCACCAAAATTAAAAGGATATATTTTAAAAAATAAATAATTCATTTTTGTATAATAAATATGATAAATTAAACAAATTATAATTATTAAATTAATTTAATAAATATATATACTTTTTTGTGATATATATACCAAAAAAAACCTTACAAATTATTTTAATCATCAAAATAAATTTTTGTATTTGATATGATCTTATCTTCTCTTTGTTAGCAAAATTATTTAACGTAACAGGTTTCCCATAGTCATGTTTACCGACTAGTTTCTTGATGTTGACGTAATGGTTTTGTTTGGAGTGTATTATATAAGTGTACGAGTAAGAAATAATCCTTCTCGTATAATCCTGTTGATCAAGTCCGCGCTCCTCCAAACGTCGTCGCTTTACTCCCTGAAAACACAAACGTGAGCTAGCCGGCGGATGTGTGCCAGATACCTCTCTGATGCCTAAGTAAGCAAAATAGACAAATAGACAAAAACTCTGTATATTCGAGAATCAAAGTTGTGTTACCTCTCCATAAGTGATGTTATGAGCTTTTATAGGTTTCGCGTGGCACAATCCAAGTAGGACTCTTACTCCTCCATGTAGAGTCCTCCTAGGAATCACCTTCATGAAAAATAATGCTTATCCTTCAACACCCCCCTCACTGCTTAAACCAAGTGAGATGGTTCTACCACGGTTGGATGTCAATACGACCGAGATAACATGGCCATGCTAAAGCCGCAGACTAGACCGAGCTCCCACTAGCTCGGTTCTTCCTTTCACTACGTGTATCCCGGTTTGACATATTCCAACTGGGTTGTCTGAGACCGCACTAATCATATATCGAGCTTGGACCGAGCTAACCAATAGCAAGGTTCTGGGGAAAGCTCAACAACAAGGTCCTAAATAGAAGCCAAAAATACCTCGGCTCAAGATGGTTCGACCAGGCTAACTGTCACCGCGCCGACCGTGGTGACCGAGCTAACCACCAAGCTCCTTCGGATTGGGCTATCTGCAAGGCTCCTTTGAACCGGACTAATTACAAGGCCTTTTTACTCAGCCCTTCTTAGTGTGGCCCATAGATTGACCCATTACCCAGCTCGGCCCAATTTATATATAAATTACCTTCTCAATTGCCCCTTAATTCCATCTGCGCAGCATGATAGGGATTACCTGTTACCAGCCGAGCTAAAAAATACTTTAGCCTTCCAACCGAGCTAAATTGGCATCGTGCTACCAATCTGTCCGGTCAAAACGTCTCTTCAGTCTCTATAACTGAACCACTTCTTATTCCAAGGACACGTGGCACACCCTTATTAGCCCAGTGTAGCTGTCATGCCGCCCTCGTACCTCGCAATATTTGAACAGTCCCGCCCAAAACTTGAGATTTTCACCAAAACCCTACTTTTTGAATCATTTACTCGTACTATTCACCTTCTTCTCTCTCTCTGAGTCTCTATTCCTGCTTGACCCTGCATTTTGCTGAGTTCGTGTTTTCTGTTACCATTACTTTCATCTTTAGTACCCTTGCCTTGAACTGGTATGTTTGCTCAAATTGATTTCCTTTTTGTTGATTTCACACTTGTTTACAACACATAATATGCGTATTTGTATGTTTTTTGCAAAACACATATTCCATCTTTGCTTCCATTTTTCTAGGAAAAATCCATGTAGTAGAATCTCGAATAATCTGAGAAACACTGATTTTGATCCAAAATTACATTTCAATCGAACTAAAAATTTGTTTGCCTCGGTTGTATGCCTAGTTGCACCTAACAACCGAACTATAACTCCACACTATACTTGTAGGTTTGCGCAATTCCGTACTTAGAAAGCCTTAACCTCCGACCGAGCTACAACTTGGGGCTAAACCAGCTTCCTTAGTACAAATCGAACTAAGAATGCTGCCCCAAAGGCTCAACCGGGCTAAAAAGCCCCTTGCTCAAATCGAGCTAAAAACTGATGGCATCTTGTGTAGCCAAGCTAGGACTTCATTTATCTTGCCCTTGTTTTTTGTAGCACGGTCCTATGATTAGTGCTTAACACCTTTCTTTTTTACTTTGCAGACTTAGGTTGGCCAGGCACTCCTCTGATTGCTCAACCAAGCTACTAGGCGCCTTTTCTTGACCGAGCTAATCCTTTAGCTAATTTATTAATAATTTAATAATCAATGGGAAAATATAGGTTTTTAGTAAACTCACCAAGAGCCATAGCCGAATTCCGTAAGGACTACCAAATTCCGGGTGATGTCCACCTTTCACTAGCCGAACTAGACACCGTCCCCTGGGGAAAACAAGGCTTTGTCCCTTTTAACGTTATTTCCATCGTAGAGTGTGGTCTGTGATTCCCTATACAACCCCTTCTTTGTGAATTCCTTAGACAAACCAAGCTCTGCCCTACCCAACTTTCCACCAATTCTTATCGCATAATAAACGGTATTGCCGAGCTAAACCGCCGGGCTGGCTTTAATCTCGGTCTAGCCGAGCTCTTCCATTAATACTCCATAGGATCGGCCGAAGATGGTTGGGTTTACTATTTAAGAATAAGGCGCCGGCGTGAAAAAATAATAAAGAATACCCCGGATAAAGACGTGAATGATGATGATTTCTTCTGGGTATCTGGGAACTTTGAGGACCAACAAGCCCAGATCCTTAGCCACAGAATAAATTGGAACAAGGGTGTAGCAGGTAGGGTTACCTCGGTTTCATTACATGTTTTTCTTTACTTCGGTTTTCACTTCCTGAACCGAACTAACTATTGTCTTCCTTCATGCAGATTTGAACTTTCTCAAGTCCCAATATAGCTACCCCAACTTGAATGTTCTTCGCGCTGCGCTGCGATAACCAAACCGAAGTTGGACCGAGCTACTGAATTTTGAGCCGACCTACCGATATAGCGGTAAACAAAAGACCAAGATAACTGACTTTTTGTTGGAAGCCTCTCCTGAAATTTACCTACACCTACCACCACCTACTACCACACCTACTACACCTACCACCAATTTACCCTCACCTACTCCTCACCTACTACCCAAATCCTATTCTATATAATAGGAATCCTTGTAATATCAATATCACACAATATCAATAGAGCAAGAGATGTCCAAGAAACGTGCTGTAACGGCCCTCCTGACCGAAATAAACCAGCCCGAGGTACCACCAGCCGGTCAGACTCAGGAGACCATGGTGGCCCTTCCATCCCATCAACCCTCATCATCTCGTTCAAACAAGCGTGTTCGGACTTCCACAACCGAGCCACGCCTTGTTGATGAAGAAGATACCATCTGTAATGACCCTGACCTCAAATTAATGTTAATTCGCACTTAATTATGCCTTGTAGAAGATTAGGATGGATTTGGGATTTATTTGCATGTGTATTGCATCATTTACGTGTTTCTATCGGTTTGCCATAAAATGATTTGTTCATGTCTTTGACTTTAAACTGCGAATTGAAAGCCTTATCGGCGTTCGAATCAGAAATTGACTTGTGTTATGTGCTAATTAGGATTTATAGAGTTTTATGATAGGTTTAATTAAAAATTGATTTGGTATGATTAAATTGGATTAAATAACATTAAATTACACTAGTTTGAATTATTACACTTATGCCACTTAGTGGCTTGATTTGGAGACCAACCTTATTACACTTTCAAACATATTTCCTCAGCTAATTTCCTTGTCAAAACCGACTAGAGAGAGAGGGAGAGGTAGGAGATAGATTTCATCTAGAGATTTTGCTTGGAATTGGGAGAATTGAAGAGTAGCTTGCATATTTGAGCTTCTAGGCTTGGAATTCAAGGTTCAAGGTTGGAGATTTCCCTTTCAATTGTGAATTTAAGTTTCATTCTTGCATGGTTCATGAAAGATTAGAGTTTAAAGTCTAGATTTAGCTCAAGGTGTGGTTTTGGGAGTCCATCCACGCATGCATACATAAATTTCCATGCTTTGAGTTTGAATTCTAAGATTTCTTCCATGTATGTGTTAATTTCACTCAAATTATAGTCATTCAACTTGTTTTCCATCAAATTATTAAGTTTGGTTATGTTTCGGAAGGTTTGATTTCAAGGGGGGTCCTTGTATGTTGGCTTCATAGCATATTCATGGAGTTCGTGTTGATTTTGCACAATTGGGTTGCTCTTAGGCCATGATTTCTTGAATTGAAGCTTTAAACATGTTGTTTTATGGGTTACTAAGTGTTTTCCAAAGATTTGGCCCAGAAAAATGAGTTTTTGGAGGACAATTTGGATTTTCCATAAATTTGACCCACGCTCGAGCGAGGACTTTCACGCTCGAGCGTGAAGCCTGAGTACATGCACTTCCCCTCGAGCGGCGACAGTCACGCTTGAGCGTAAAATGCATATACCCAGAAGTTCTTGTGTTTTGCAGTCCGCTCAAGCGAGGGAATCTACGCTCGAGCGAGGGTCTGAATCTCACGCTCGAGCGGAGGTCGAGCGTCCGTCGAGCGTGAAAATTGCACATCCAGCATTTTTGTCATGGTTTACAATTCGCTCGAGCGAGGAAGTCCGCGCTCGAGCGGAGCTTCCTTATCTGCATGTCCGCTCGAGCGAGTAAATCGAGGCTTGAGCGTGGACCCTATTTTCAACAAATTTTGAGAAATATTTTCCAATGCATTTTTGCATCCTCATTCCATCCTAGGCATTCCTAGGCTATGTTGGAGACCCCATAATGAGGATAAGAGATTAGAAACACACTAAGAGCCAACGAAATAAGTTTTGTACAATTAGAACGTGTATTTTAAGTGTGTATCTGTTATGTATCGTGTAGGTCACGTGCCACGTCCTGTCTGATCGATCTGCCCTGTCTATCTGTCTCAAAGCCCACTATGAGTAATAACTCTATAAAGTTATGTTCAACTTAAGTATTTTCTGACTGGTATTGTATGATCTGTTTTTTGAAAT